CTACTACTACTACTACCATCACCACTGCTCCTCCGGCCGTTGCTGCTGCTAGTACCACAACCACGACAACGACAGCTACCAGTAGCACTGCCATTGTCACTTCCATTACCACCTAAGCATTACTACATTACTGTTACGACAACTACTACTACCACCAACACTGCTGCTATTACTACTACTACTANNAGCACGTTATTAAGCCCCCCCCCCCCACCCCCCCCCTTCCAAAGCGATGAATCTGCTGCAAATCGATGATTCTGTGCGGGCGCCGAGTGGGCCCAGTCTCTACTACTACTACAACTACTACTACTACTGCTGCTGCTGCTGCTGCTGCTGCTACTACTGCCTCTGCTACTGCTACTGCTACTGCGACTGCTACTGCTACTGCTACTGCTACAGCTACTGCTACTACTGCTACCACCACTACTACTACTACTACTACTACTACTACTACTACCACGACTACTACGACTACTACTACTACTACCACTACTACCACTACTACTACTACTACTACTACTACTACTGCCGACTGCGACTGCGAGTGAGACTACGACTGCGACGACCACGACGGCGACTAGCGCTGCTGCTGCTGCTACTACTACTACTACTACTACTACCACTACCACTACCACTACCACTACCACTACCACTACCACTACCACTACCTACTACCACCACGACGACCTACATAAGGGCTGAGTAAGTGACCTTTAACCTTTTGGGGTTTGTATATTCCGACTATAATTTAAAGGGTTAGCCTTTTTGGGCCATGACATTCGGCCCCTAAGACCATAATTGCTACTACGACGACGACGGCAACCACTACTACGACAGTATTGAAAACACTACTAAAATGCTAGTGTTGTGCTGCTGCTGATATTGCTGTTTCTCTTGCCGCTGCTGCTGCTCAGGCGTCGGCGGGGATTGAAGCTTCATACTTCTGGTCTGTATGCGTTGTATGCAGATCAAGCCTCATCCTTCTCGTGTTTTGAGCAGGGTGATTTGTTCCGCCAAGCATCCTGCTTTCGGCAAGTAGGTACAGAACATGAGTTTGCAGCTCAGCCTCATATGAAATAAATGTGTTACCATAAAGACGAGCTGATACCGAAATGACAAATCCTCCGTTCCGCCGTTTCCACAGTCTATAGCTTCTGCATCTAGAAGAACTAGAAGCTTTTGAAGCAAACCAGAACGCCTGTACCTTGAACTCCACATGCTGATGGTGTAGGAAGCAAAGCAAGGCCCGAAACATCCATGCAACACTCGCCAAGCGGCTTTACAGGCAGTACGATCGAGCAGTGCTGCACCAAGAAGATGTGCGACACCTACACGTGCAGCAAAGACAGCCTTCAGAAGACTCCAGTGAAGGCCCGGGCGACTGGTGGAGTGGATTTATAAGGGTTTATATATGGTGGGTCTAAAATGGGTTTATGTACGGGTTGATATAAGCTTTTGCAAGGGTTTATAAGGATTTACACGGGGCGTACATATCTATATCTGTTATATATATATGTATACACCGGCCTGAGGATAAGACCCCGCTGATCTCTGGTTGCAGGCGGTGCGGGATTTAGGGTTTCGGGTTTGCGGAGTCCTGCAGACCACCCATATCATGACTGCAGAAGCTTCAACCATTACCAATAATAGTTCGGGGGCTGCTTATTATATTTATAGCAGAATAGACCTCGAAACCCTAATCTAATAATTAAGGCCTCTATAGTCGAGCATTCCTTAATGCCTCTTATTGTAACCGTAGCCCTTATAGGAGGTCACAGGCGCGCAAAAAAGCCTGGAGACTCAACGCATGCAAAATGCTATTCGCTCAGGTTTTCGCTAAGCTGACAAGCAGAGAGTCAGCAAAGTATAGGGTAGTGTCGAAACCCATACGATGTTATTTCAATCTGAAAATCAGAACAGCAGGACGAATCATGAAATGTCAGTCATAGCCTAGATGAAATCTTGCGTAAGCGGCAGTTGGTACCGCCAGACGAACGCAAACAAGTATCTAACCAAATCAGGATTGATCTCCTTGCCACGCTTGGCATGGCGAGGCCAGGAAGAAAGTCCTGTGTTGTCTGCCACCACCGGTCAACGCTCCGAGTTCCAGCAATGTATGTTGCCGGCCTTTTGTTCGCCCGCGGCTACACAGTAACTTTTGTGGAGAATTCATGCTTCGAGTTTCTGACATGATCACTGGCGACAGCAGGCTTTCCCACAGCCGAGACCAAACGAGGCCAAGCTTGAGCACCGTCTGAATGAAGCAAAGACTGCCTCCCCCGCTCGGCGCTGAAATGGTCGACGAGGCTGAAGGGCTTGAGCCTGGAGGAACAAGGCGAATCAGTAGAACGAGCAGCAGCGCGAGCTTTGATGCCAACAATACGAACGTATCCACGCCAATATTTCGGCTCGGGCTTGCCAGGCTTCTGAGCTTTCCAGTGCCGCAGAGCATCTAGGATCTCATCTTGAAACTCAGGGTTTGTCTTGCTAACATACACCTTCCGGATATTGTTCGCATCGCTCTCCGAGTGTCCGAACAGGTGCTGCTTTTGAGCACTAAATTTCCGAGAAGATCAGCACCTTGGGCAAGTCCGGAAGCCTGATGCGACTGCCAGCTTGGACGAAGCCGGCCGGAACTCTTCGGTCTCGTTGGAGACCTTGGCTTCAGGCTCCCGGTCCGAAGACCTTGAGAGCTCACACAGCTGAGGATCAGTTTCGGACGGCGAAAAACAGAGAGCACATCGGTTTCTTCACCCGCTGGCAGCAGACGAATACGAGCATAGTTTGTGGGATATTTGCAATCTCGAGGCAAGGGATCCAACTCTGCCAAGCCGAAACCAGCCCATGCCTGCGCAGCTGCCAGACCGTGTGAGCATCCATGCCGAAGCGGGACGCCAGCATCAGCACTTCAGTCCACGGCAACCAGACGCCAACCGGCACCATGGAGCGCACTCCATGCCGGAAGTTGTCGGCTGCCCTCATCATTATGCCATTATGTATTCGTGAACATGATCATTATCATTAGACTGATGATGATGATGATGATTATGTATTCGTGAAAGTCATCATTATCATTACCTCATCAGTGATCAATAGAATTATGGTTATCATCCTGGTTATCCTTGGCATACTTAGCATCAAGGTGAGTGTCATTATCCTGATAGCATTATCTATTTCTTTGTCTTGACCATGATCAACATATCGTTACCATGATATCCTTCAGTTGCCTGGTTCCTTATAGGACCCCGTAAAGGAACCCCAAAGATGCATCTGTCAGGGTCTCCAAGGCAGCACTGACGAGGAGTGCTGCGAAACGAAGTTCTGCACTGCGTGGACCTGCAGTGATAAGACAAAGTGGGTGGCCTGGCATTTGAGCTCTTACATATTGCATATCTTGTATGAATGTTACAATGATATAATACAAACAGTTGGTAAATAACTTTATAGAACATGACTATAGTCTCAACCTGCTACGCTTGTCCGGTCCAACAAAGGAGCCTAAACAATTATGTTCCTTAGTGCTCCTTATTACAAGTCTACTATGAAAGAGGCCAAGATCCTTGTTTAACTATTAAGGCCCCTCAGGGCTTCGCCCTCAACCTTAACCCTACAGTAAGACCTAACTACCTCCAGAGGCCCCCGCTGTTTAAAAGGTTCATGGGGCTTGTAAGATATGTGATTCAGGGGCTCAGAGGTTTGCTTGACTCATTGTGTTTAGAGTAGGTTTAGGGCTTTAGGGCTTAGGGCGTGGGATTTGGGTGTTTTGGCCTGCGGGCCAGGGTGTTGAGTTCTTCGTGGCTTTGGCAACTTCTTGATGCTCAAAAAACTGAAGCCACAGCTCTTCAAGCTGCGATATTCAGTCTAAAAACTGCGGCACTCGAAACCCTAAACCCTGAAAGACCAAAAAGGAGTTCAAAAAACTTTGAAGTACTCAAAACCCTAAACCCTGAACCCTGAAGGACCCTAAGCCCTAACCCTAAAGCTTAAACCCAGAAGGACCCTAAACCCCAACCCACAAGGTCCACAAATCGGCCCAGCACGGCAAGACAAACCTCGACCGCCGTGGCTTCTCCGATGAGGAATGCTGCGACGAGAAGTCGCTGATCTGACGGCTGAACCCAAAACCCACAACTGTTTAGGGTTCAGGGCTTAGGGTCATACCTAGCCCCAAAAGCCCCAAACCATAACTCTTAAACCATGAAGGTGTGGGGTTTAGGGTTCAGGGTTTGGGCTTGGACTTCGCTGGAAGGGTTTTAGGTTAAGTTTAGAGCTTGAATTTACTTTCGTTGTCGGAAGAAGTCATCATAGTTTCCCCTTATGCTCCTCCTATAAGAGGCATGGAGAATTTCGTCCCCAAGCCTTCCCTTGAAGGGTGTAGGGTTTGGGGTTTCGCCAGAAGCAGGCGTTTGAGACTTCGTCCCAACCATTTTGTTTTCAAGTTTTTGGCGCACTTGGAAGGGCACTTCAGCGTGCATTCGTAGACTTCGCGTGGAGCTCTCCGGGTATCCTTGCCGTATAAACCCTCAACCATAAAGCCCATGCCCGTGCGGGCATTTTGTCCTACTTCCCGGACTTTTGTTTGCTCGGCCGTTGCACTAAACCGAAACAGCAACCCCTTAAAGCCCCGAGACCCTATACCCTACACCAGCCTGTACATCTGCACCGCAAAGCCGTCGGCACAAGGTACTGCTTGGAGGAGATTTGTGACCCTGCCACCCAGTGGAAAGGAAAAGAAGGCAAGATGCGCGGTTTTCAGGGAGGAATAAATTGAGAGGGTCTGACCAGGTCATCATAGGGCTTTGTGGGTTGAAAACGGCTTGGGCTTTCACAGGGTTTTGAGCCACTTTTTGTCTTGAGCCCCGGAAACCCCATATGCCACTCAACCCCAAACGTACCGGACCACGAATGCATGCTGGTTTGTATTAAGAAACATGCACATGTAAAGGCCGGGGTGTGTGCATTCTTCTGGCTTTAACCTAATCCTAGGATCACATGTTCGCTGACTTTGTCTATTATTTCCAGATGCTACGGCCCTAAGCACTAGATCATGGATTTTCGAATTTGACGTTTCAGAGCTTGGGGCCAGTTATGGAAACATGGTACAGTGTCTTAACTATAAGAGAATGATCTCTACTAACACGATAATGGTACAACGGTGATATGTTAATGAGACAATAATGCAAAATAATCATACAGTAAGACATAGCTGACGCCGAATAACATATAATGAGACAGAAAAAATTGTAGTAATTTCAACCGCAACGATGACACATATTGTCACATAATGTCATATAGTAATAGGAACAACACGAAGATGTGTACAGCAGCATGTGTAATACATCGTCGTAGGTTTGGAGAGCCGAGAGACCCATACATCCGAACGTAGCTGTCAGGCCTGGACAAGATCCAGGGCAGCACCCATGAGCAGTGCTGTGAGAAGATCTTCTGCCACTGCCTTACACTTTAGGGTTTGGGGTTTAGGGTTCCAGTTGTGTCGCCGTGCGAGCGTGGTTGTTTGTTCTGGGTTTGGGAAGCGCCTCGATGGATGACAAGATGTTCTCTGTGCAAAAATGGTCTTCCACCACACTAGGAAACGATGAGGATTGTTAAATACCGGCGCGAAACCCATAGGGTAACCTCCAGCACTCTAAACCCTGAGCAAACGTCTGAGCCTGCAATCCCAAAACCTGTGACCTCTATAAAACCCTCTTGCTAAGAATGAACAACAGGACAATTTGTGTTTTCTTTTCACTTTAGCCTAAAGCTCTGAACTCTGAACCACCAAACCTGCAACACGTGGTTGTGAAGGTGTGAAGTGTTGCACTTTCTTGTTGTCAGTTTGCGCATAAGTGTTTGTAGGGCTTCAATGTGCAAATATAAAAACTTAAGAGCTTGAAAGTTCAGGACTGTCGGTTTTCCCGCCCAAGTTTTGCTCTCTGACTTCCGGGTTTTCGGAGGATTCAGAGCTTCAGGGACTTAGAGTAATATAGGAGCCCTTCAGATCTTAACAGGGTTTGGGTGCACAGTTGTAAAGGATTCAGGCTTGCAAGTCCTACAAAGCACAAGAAGAATGCACAAGCACGTAACCCTAAGTGCTGCGAAACGCAAGAGCAACTACGCTCCCGAGGCCCTGAATTCATCAAACTGCCATCGTCCCGACCTCGTTGGTTGTTGGTTGGTTCCTGTCAGTTCCCCTTTACACGAGCTGAGTATGCCGGTCTAGGCAACGCGTTCCCTTCGACCCAACTGAACATTAACCCCAAGTTTTCCAACCCAAAACACCCTGAAACCCTGAAACCCTGAAAGCAATTGGGGACTGAGCTAAAGCTCCAATTCAGGGCATCCGAGTTTCCTGTGCGGCTTCCCATATTGATTGTAGTATCATGGCTACTACAAGGGCTTGATATGTACTTTTCGGGTCTTTCTGTTGAGGGGTTGGGTGGGGGGTGAGCTTATCTTCTAGTTTAGAAGTATGCATAATGAGCCGGAAAAGAGGCAGCAATGCGGGTCCCGATATCAACGAGCAGGAAATCCAGTGTGGGGGCCTAGCGGGGAGGCAGTGACTCAATGCCTCAACCTTCGAGGCGACGACTTCGTGTGTGACACTGATGTTAACGGCACTGGTGTCGGCACGCAGTGGTGTCTCAGTCAGCAAGAACCCCAAACCCCAAACCCTAAAACCACTAGTCTCGTTAGGGTTTAGGCTCCGGACCCTCGGCCCTAAACCCCTTTACGTAGCCCAAAGGCTAGTTATCCCCTGAACGATGAAGATGTAGACAGGGTTGTGGGCTTAGGCACCCGTGGCTTTGAGCTTAAAGTCGGACAGGGCTTGCTGTTGCCCAGGCGGCATATGGTCGAAGTGATTTGAGTTGTGTATCTACCTGATCTTCAGATATGTATCTACCTGATCTTCAGATCCAACGCGAAGGCTTGGAAAGGTTCGGGTTGGATCGGGTTGGAATGAGGGATTTGTGTGCCTTCCTCCAGGTTCGCATTTGATGGCCCTTATCACGTGCTTCTGGTTGTTGTAAACTGCGGTGGCAGCGAGCACCTGGGTCCTCGCGTGTGCCGCAGAATCAACGTCCCGTCACAGCACCCGCTGGCGGCTAACAGATCGCATCTCCTTTAGCCTAAAGCGTCGCTGCAACCGTATAGTACGACGTCTATGTGGGCAGCCCGGCAAATTTGTTGCTTCAGGGCTCAATGCCAAAGGGTTTAAGTAGAGTTGAGGGTTTGTCAAAAAACCCACCAACAGCGTGGTTGTCGTGCACAGCGCTGGCCCAAAACGGCCCAAAACCTACTCCCAGCCCCAGTGTTTAGCAGAGCATATGATTGTGGAATGGACAAACGGGGGCATCCGATTGCGGATTATTAGTCGCAAGTTAGGGCCCAGGCTTGATGCTCGAATCCTTGGAATGTAACGGGGTTTGGTTTTGGTATCGGTAGGGGTTTAGGGTTCTTGGCTTTGCGTCAGGGCATTTTAAGCTTTCAGGTTATGATTTTTTGATTGTTTCGTGGGCAACAACGAGTTTCTCAACTCTTGAAGCTCGAAGTTTCAAGCCGCTCAACCACGTCCTCCAATACAGGAGAGTATAGCTGATTTCAATAGGGCCTTCCAAGTATAATTTACACAGGGACTATCAGGTTGACCACTACGAAGTATTCCGAACCCTATGTCGGACCCGTCTGGGCGCCAACGTTCAGAAGCCTCAGCCTGATAGATGCTACCTTTAGACTTGCACAGAGTGTGCCTCAATAATTAGCACTAGTCTGCCCTTGTGGTCCCTTGCGAACTATACTCTGATATACACCAAAGCCTTGCTCGAATCTTTTGAATTACAACTCGGAGTAGTGTCCCCCAGATCGTTCCCAAAAAGTGTACAATAATATACCGACCCCGAAAAACCCGTATTCCAAGTATTGTCTCTCCTATTTTGATATCAATCCTTAAACAGCCTTGAAACGCGCTAGGAGGTCTTATTTGAAGCCTTATATATAAAAAAACACCTAACGAGGCCCCGATATTAGAATTTGAGTTAGTATTGGTTTTATTATTCTAATGTTAATATTCGTCGGGTCCAGGGGTCTCGACCCAGGTACAAGCGCGTGGACACGAACACCTACAAGTGGCAGGGAAGCACCAACGAGGAGCCTGGTAACACGGGGGCCTACACAAGTACCAATGCTATTGTACAAGTACAGTATAATCGATAGACAGGTGCCACAAAACCCTATTCTAATCATTAAGGCCGCGTTTTTTTCCGAAAGTCCTCGTCCTATTTTCGGAGCGCTAGACTCCGAACCCTACGGCTCCGAAAATCTAGCGAATAAATTCTGCCCCCCCGTGCCTTAAACCCTACAAGCCCGAAGCCCAAACCCCAAGCCAACTTAAACCCTAAGAGCCCTAAAGCCCAAACCCGCAAACCACGAAAACTCCAAGGCCCACCCAACGAGGTCCCAGACCACGGTTTGGGGTCTATCGGCCTTACCCTCAACCCTGAAGCCTCAGACTAGAGGGTTTGAACCACAGATTCATGCATTTCAGGCTTTGCATGTTGGGTCGTAGGAGCTCTAAGTGCAAGGTCCCCATAAGCTTGGAGGGGGTCTAGGTGGCCGCAAAAAAACCCCTAAACCCTAAACCCTAAAAGCCCCACCATAGCAACAACCAAAAAGGAAAAACCGTTTTGCAGTGCCAAAGAACAACTCAGAATCCGCGGCTTGATTTGCAGGGCTTAGGGAGCGTAACCCTATATAAACTAAACTCAATCCTATAGAACCTGAACTCTAGGCACTTTGGACCAAGCTGCAAAAGTCCGCTACCGTAGGTAAAAACCCTAAACCGCAACAGGGTAGGGCATCTTAGGGTTCAGAGTTTGATGCTCGTGGTCCAGGGCTTGCGGAGGTCGAGTCGGGGTTCTGGTTGCTGAGAGGGTTCCGCCATGAAATGTCTGGAACTGCAAGGATTAAGGATTACGGTTTAGGGGCTTAGCGTCTGGACCCTGTAGGTTCAAGGTTCAGTGAGCGGGTTCACCCACAAACTGTACTGTTTCAAGCTTCTTTCTCGACGGTCTTGCATGCTGGAGGGGACTTATCGCATGAGATCCCGTCGAAAGGGCCGAAGCTTCGATTTTTGCGCCGGTGCAACATGCGTATGTTTGCCTGAATTGGGGCGTGGAGACGGCTTAGAACAGTGGAAGTGTGAAAACACCATCCAGCTTGCAGTTGCACGGGATTTCCCACGGCAATGGTGGACCCCCATGGAGTCGGAGTTGCGCCGGATTTTTCGGTGGTCAAGGAAGTTAGTTTAGGGATTTGAGTTTCGGGATTAAGACTTACACACTAGGGTCCTATGGGTTTCGACGCCTTGACCTGCAGATCAGACTGTTTGGAGGAGTGCTGCATGCCCATCTACTGCAGCCAGTACACCACCAGCCATCCTACCCGCTGGGTGAGGACGGCTGCTTCATGCGCTAGGACAATATCATAGGGGCCCTAAGCCATAAACCCTAAAAGTTTTAGGCAACCCTAAGCCTTAAAGATTTTAGGACACCCTAAACCTTAGGGATTTCAGGATACCCAAACAGTAATATTTCTGTATGAACTCAGGGGATTTCCTTTTGCGAAGTCTTCCGAGCCTCCAAAGTTCAGCCTTTGACAACCGAAGACTGGACCTGGGCCTCGAGGCACCGATTAAAAGGCCTTATATTTAAGGGTTCAGGGTTTAGGGTTTAGGGTTATAAACCCTACAGAACGAATCATGAACCCAGTGTAGCGAGCTTCATTTGGGGGTTCAGGGTTTAGGGTCGTTGGTCCATGGAAGGCTACTGAAGCGGGTGTAGCTTTAGGGGCTCTAGCACGGAAGCAAATGCAAGTGAGATCCACGATCAGCAATAAAGCCCGAAATCTTACACACCGAAAATCTTGAGGCTAAGCTTTCGAGCCCTAATCCCCAAGACACCTTCTCGTAAATTCCCAAGCCCAAATCCCCTGATCGTGCTCCGGTTTAGGGTTTAGGGTTTAAGGGCTTTAGGACTTTACGGGTTTTGGGGTTTCAAGGCTCAGTCGGCTTCTGGCTTGCGGTTTTTGAAGTTTCCGGCAGGGTTTTTGGGTTGAGAGGTTAGGGGTTTGGGGTTTAGGGGTTTAGTATTTAGGTTTTAGGGTTGATAGGGTTCAGGGTTTAGGGGCTTAGTATTTAGGCTAAAGTCTTGGACTTCTGCCGTCTTTTCCACTTCGCCAGCAAGCGATTGATGATTGGAAATCATGCCAAGGGTTGCAGGGCCCAAAAAGGTTGGGCCCTACGACCATCCTACAATATAGAAGCTTGAACCATTGACAGCACTCTTCCTTCCCGCCCCGCAACATTCTAACTAAAACGAAGCATGCAGTGTGCTCCAAAACCTTCTTCTATACCCATAGGCCCCTAAGTAGTTCCTTTTGGGGATTACGCCTATGGGTAGTTATTAAAGGCCCTACATCACTCTGCAGGGTCCTCGGGTCTACTTGGATCCTCAGAGGTGGTCTCTGCGGCAAGATGGAATCCTCAACGGCACAAGCACCCGAAACTCGCTGACCTTTCTAAATTGCTAGTACTTGTTATTTTTTAAATTCTCTGTCTTTGACTCCCACACCCTGAATTTATGTGTTTTGAAACAAGGACGACATTGCTACAGGGTAAGCATGCTTGACGCGTCGTGCACCAGCCGCTAAACCTCCATATAGAAAAAAGACACGAGCACGACGATGGAATGTCCGTGCAAGGGTCGCGCACAGGCTCACTGAGAGCTCAAAACCCCAAAACCTCAACACCCTAAACCCTACCTGAAACCTCATCCGGAAAGGAAGAAGGACGCGAGCTTGCATGGCAGCACCGACGTGGAGTGCTATGATCCGCTCTGGTGCTCTGAATACTGCTGCGACAAGCAGTCAGGCGTTTTTTGGGGAAGGGGCTTTCTCTTCACGGAGTTGAGGTGCGGATCATTGGAACTAGTAGGCTGAGGTTTGACTTCTTTATGGGGTCATGGGCTTACGTTTAAGGGTTTAGAAACCGAGGATTTGGGGTTGGGGGTTTCAGATTGGGCCTTGGAGTTCACAGGGAGAGGGAGAGGGAGACAGAGAGAGGGAGGGAGAGGGGGGAGGGAGAGGAGGGAGGGAGAGGAGCTGGGGTTCGGCAGATTAGCATTGGCAACAACTCACAAAACGCTACACCCTACACCCCAAACCCTAAACCCCAAAACACCAAGCCCTGCAGCCTATATCCGCGAACCCGTCTTGAGTTCCTATTTTCATCTATGAAACGAAACCCTATCTTCCACACCTACGAAAGCCAACACAAGCCCTTGCCTCTCACACCCTACAACGTTCTAATCCTCGAAACCCCAAACCCTGAAACCCTAAAACCCTAAACCCTAAAATTCCCTAAACCCTAAACCCTGAACCCTGAAACCCTAAAACCTTAAAGCACTAGAGCGCAAACCGTCAACCCTACGCTCTAGAATCCTGAGCCCTAAACCCTAAACCGCCTGGACATCTACTGCGTATGACTACTATCATATAGTAGCATTCTGAAAGTGATTGTTTTCTTTATCATTGTTACTACTGTTTTTCAGTATTAGTATTAGTGCTACTCTTATCACGGTTACTTTCTTATTATGATTTTTGTCTTTAATTACTGGTGGTACTACTACTACTACTACTACTGCTGCTATTCGTGTCATTATGCTTGTTGTTACTGCCACCGTTTCTACGACTATTACATACTACCATTATGGTCATTGTTATTTATTACTATTGGTACTACTATAGTTATTCTTATTGTTATTACTACATTTATTGCTATTCCCCACCCTCGGTGTGGGGTTGTGAGATTTTAAAGTCAGCTATTATTCCTCCGCCCACTCCTGAGACTACCGTGAGACGCCCAACCCGCGGACCCCAGGACCTTCAGGCGAGTCAGCAAGGATCGTCGACTGACTTGAATCGAACACTCGTGTTTTGTTAACGTGTACGGGGACCCACGACCGCAATGCCTGTCAGTGGTGTTGTCTGTTGGGTGGGGATGTTCGAATTAAAATAATTATTGCTTTCATTGTTAGTGTTGGAGTCGTTTTATGCTCCCTCCCCCCCCCCCGTGGCCGGCTTAA